GGCGATAATTGCTAGTCATGGAATTTCTAATGGTTTGGGGGATTAATAAAGAGAAAGATGAGTGAGACGTTGACTTTTACAGTTCATGTAAACTTTGCAGGACTTAATCTGCTAGATGATAGTTTCATAGCCATGGGATTATAGACTGAGACCATTATATGAGCAGATAAACGATCACTATTTTACATTTGGTAAACAAGCAACAAGGAAAGGACGAGGAACATCTGAGGAAAATACGCTTTTTGACAGATGCACCATTATTCACAGACATCTTGGGATGCTACAATATCAGATCTGGGTGGCGATTGGTCAAGGGTTCAACAAAATAGCCACAATGGAGCAGTGCTCTACGTATGGCTGCAGATAAACACCGACTGGCTCCTCTCACGTTCACATGTAGAGCAAACTTCATGTTCTGATGAATTTTCCTACCTTAGAACAAATCGATATTTATTGTGTTAAAAAATGCTACCAACATATAACTGGTGGGGGTATATTTGATTGTCACATATTGAGAAGTAAAACAGACATGCATGGCATCAGAATTCGGCATATCCTTATATGTAAGAAACGTGCCAGACGTTAAACTGCAAAAAATACCACCACACAAAGTCTTTTTACCTTGTTATAAGATCTCTTTTAAAAGATATCATGACTGCTGAACTGTTCCTTTATTCACCGCCACTACAGTGCATATTTCACTGAAGTATAGCAAACCATAGTATACCAAAACAGTATTATGTGGTGTGCTCTGTAACAGTGCATATCGCATTGAAGTATAGCAAACCATAGTATACCAAAACAGTATCCGGCCTATGTGTTGTGCTCTGCTACAGTGCATATCGCACTGAAGTATACCAAACCATAGTATACCATGACAGTATTATGTGGTGTCTGCTCTGCTACAGTGCATATCTCACTTAAGTATACCAAGCCATAGTATACCAAAGCAGTATTATGTGGTGTGCTCTGTAACAATGCATATCATACTGAAGTATAGCAAACCATAGTATACCAAAACAGTATCCGGCCTATGTGTTGTGCTCTGCTACAGTGCATATCGCACTGAAGTATAGCAAACCATAGTACACCAAAACATTATTATGTGGTGTGCTCCACTAACCGAATTTAATAAACATAAACATATGTCACGTTTATACAGATTACTAACTTCTGGGTGTTACAAAACACATCTCATTAATAATTTAGCCGTATGTACTACTAATCTTCTTAAATTGTGAGCATAAATAAACGTCAGTATAGTACCGAAAAACTGACGTACGGCCAAATGTTTCGCCTGTCATCTGAAGCCCTGGTGATTATTGTGCATGCACCATATATAATATCGATATCACATCGCCCAGCCCTACTTGACACGTAGAACGAAAAGAGAGAACACGTGATCTTCCCGAGGAACGCATGTCATCAAATAAATCTACCCTTTCGACTTTCATAACGACGCATATAGCTAATCGCTCTGTTCCACCAGAAGTAAATATTTTACTGATCGCAATCGACACAAAACTTAGCCACAACTGGAGACACTGACAGAATGCACACGATCGCATTACTAGCTGGACTGCTAATCACAGACTAATCAGGTGCTAATTAAGCTGATAGCTAGCTAAAAGCTGTTACCGAAATATTTTCTATCTGCGACTATATTGTAAAGAAATATTCTAGTGGTTGAAGTGGGGAAAACGGGTATTGGTAGTCCCTCTGTTATACAGTACCGGGTACTGGTACTCGCCTTGTTATTCAGTCCCAGCAGATACTGGTGCCTGCAGCTACTCTGAAGAGAAAAACAAAGATGTGTTGGTGAGTACCGGCCCACTTATAAAGCACTGGAAATACTCCAACCGCCAAAAATGGTTTGAAGATGGATGGATCAATGTGCTGTTATACATCTTCAATCACTGAATCAAAATATTAGTCCTACATGATCTCCATGAATTCCTTTGATTTCACATTTAAACTCTACAAACTATCAATGTGACCTGAAGTATTGCATTTTACCCTTTATTTCAAGAAATAAACAGAACTTTGCTTTTAGAGCTGTTAGTCGCCCGTTTTTAATTTTCTGTCTTTTAAACCAAACACCAGGTGTTTTTGATCCACACACCATTCGCAAGTGAACTGCCAAGTCCCTTTAACGGCGTAACCATTAAGTCCGACGTTTCAGCCTGGGTATAAGTGACATTTTGATTAGAACTACTAGTATTTTACACAATCGCATCAATGAGGTCTTTGTGTTCTGACAGACAGCTGTCTCATGGGATTGGACGCCAGTAAACAAGTCAGCTGCCATGGGCTTTGTAAACTGCTCTTTTTCTGTGAAATTGCGCAGACAGTACCTCTTTTATTCTGTTTTGTTCGTCTCTGTGAGACATATAGCGTTTCTAATCTGGACTTCTTCCAGATGATTGTTCAAAGGTGACAGTTACGTGAAACCCTGTACTTTGCGGAGATCAACATCAAGTTTTTTTATTTTTTTTCCCCTTACTCCCCGCTTGTCATTATCAACAAAGGACCCACGTTTTCCCTTGATCTCTTACACCCAGCTTCCTGCAGGCTAGTTCTCATATCGGGAGCAAAACATATTTTTCATACCTTTCAGGTAGTCTCCAGACGCGGATTCTTTTCCCCTCTCTCTCACTCCCTTTCTTATTGTTTTTGAAACACATTGTTGTTCCTCTGTTTACTTGCGTCTCTCTTTCTTTCTTTTGCAGAAGCAAGGTCTTCTGCACATGAAGCCGAGATAGTAGGCTACTGCCTGTAAGCCGCTGTGACTTTTTTGTCTTTTTTAAACCAGCCGCCTCCAGCAGGAATGAATGAAATCTGCGAGGAGGCAGTAAGTCATTTAGGAAAAACCTGCAGCCCTGCCTTGCCCCTCTATCCACAATAAGCGTCAGGATCCCAGGTGTACGGACTTAATTTTATAATACGTGCACTCGCATTGCCCCGGGGACCTGATTTTAATAACAAAGTTTTATTTTTGTAGTCGTACAATAAAAAAAAATGGCGTTGGGTTTGCTCCATTTATTCCGGCTTTTCTTACAAAATAACTTCCACTGCCGGTTTTTTTGTGTTTTCGGGGTGATGAAGATTAAGTATGAAGTCCTTGACCGCATCCTTTGTGGAGAGGGTTTATGATTTAAATGGTGACGTGTGTGACATCACCGTCCTACAGCAGGATAAAGTGTTCTCGGTAGACTACGAGGAGTGACATCAGTGTTATGTTGTTCCTTTAGTTACAAATGCGCTAAGATCGGTTATGTTAAAAATGAATAAAAGTGCAGCTGCTGTTTTGGCTGAGCAGACAGTGCAACGTGACCCCTGCAGGGTGTGTGTGTGTGTTCGGCCAGATGCATATGAGCATCACTCCAGCCACACTCCTACCTCTAGCACTGATACGGTTTTGCGCCATATAACTGGACCGACACCCCCCCCCAAAGCTTCCAGACCACGTCAGCCATCCGCATATAGTGTTTCACTGTATAATCATGGTAAGCATGTGCCCTCCGACACGGTACCTGACATTTCAGGCAGCCCGTGTTGAGTATTTTTACATTCATATTCATAGCTTTTATATTTTGACAAGACTATGTCTCATTTTTGGCGATCGGTCACGTCTCGATCATTGAAAAGTTTTGCGCATCTTTACATTAAATTTGATCGCTCCTTTTATTTTTATTCATTTTGGGCCACCGCACGAGATCTACCCGTCAAATTCAACAGATCGTTTATTGAAAAACACACTACGAACGGATTTATAAAAGAAATGGAAATACGCGCTGACATACACATGCAGACACACACGGATCCCCAGGCGCAGCCCACAATTCGACTGCAACAAAAGCTCCGCAAATCTTCTTAGACTGTTTATCTTCCCCAGTTTCAGTCCGCGCTGCAGGTACCGATATTGTAGAATTTTGTCATGATTACTGTAGCATTTACATATAATGTGCCGAGGTCCTTGACAAAAGAAAACGTGCAGAAATAAATTTCGGGCATTAAACCCACAAATAGCCCAAACCACCAGCTTTTGGGAGCGCGTATCTCTCTTCAAAGCTTTTTTCTGTTTATATGTGATACTTTAGCCTCACCCTAGCTAATCTTCGCCCTTCGTATTTTCCTTTGTTGACGAATTTATGTAAAATGCGAGGAAGGTCAGGCTGTACAAAAGGCGCGTAACGAAGCGGGACAAAACGATACATCCCACCGCAATCGTGTACCTTTTTCACCGTGAGCCTCTGGGCTAAACGCGGCCCCTTTGAAGCTCCATGGCCACGGTGCTTCCACACCATGGCACTAAAGGCACAATTTTTAAAAAAAGGAAAAGACACTAGCCTGTGATAATGTGAATTTAAAGGTAGTGCATGGAGCTGCGGCTTGGCAGGACGGGGTGATGTGACCCTCCACCTGGAGCCTTGACCCGCAGCATCTGTGGTTTTCTGGAGAGCCCACATGAAGTTCTCCTATCTCATTGTCCTATTTAATTCGCGGCGGTCTCACTGACAGAGTAGATGTAAAACATGTCGATGTTTTCGACGAGCCTTTGAAATGGACGCCCATGAAAGACACGGATCTATTCCGGTTTCAGACAGATGTTTGGGTCTGTGACGCCTTTCCGCGGGAAATGTGCGGATTTATATCCGATCAGGCGGATCACAAGTCCAACGCAAGAGCCTTATTATACAGCGTCCACACTCGTAATATTAACTGCAATAGGGACAATTTGACGATTCGGACTCTGAAGTTGAAACGTAATTGATATTTGTCTGTTGCGTTTTCTAATTTCGCTTTCATTATGTGAAAGGTCCTAATTTTTACATGCTTATAAAATGTTACACTGATCTCATACAAAATTTGTACGAATTTATCGATTTCAGGGGTAATGGTGTAGGCTCTTCTGGATTCACACAAAGCTAACTTGAAGCCCTTTTATACTTTGGGATATGACACTAAGCAGTAAAACATAAGTCACACGAACAATTAAATCAGAGCTGTTTTACGGTTTATTTTACAATTAGGAAAAAACAAAACGAAACATAACGTTTATTGGTGCGAGCCAATTTTTACAGTAATAAAACATTGAAATGTATATGCATTTCGCATTGCCTTTATTTTCACACAATATCATGCATCAAAACGGATGCAAGAATAGTTAAAATTACTTCTGTAAACCAAGCTGTAGGAGATACATTTTATTAAAAAAAACAAAACATTTTTTGTGGCTCTACAGTATATATTTATATACATAATTTGTTTTGTTTTTATTTTAATATATATAAAAGGACAATATAAAAGTTAAAGAATGCACATAGGTCTTAAAGTACAAATAATCGTAAGCCGTTGCATTTCGCAAGATATGTCATACGTAGTTTTACACAATGTTGCTAAGCATTTACACGTGACAGACGTCCATGTTTTTACATGGTTTGAAATAGAAGTGCCGCACTATAGAAATAAACTTGTAACAAACCATATATTTGGAAATTACTAAAAAGTGATACTTTACAATGGAAAATACGACATGTAAATAAAAAATTGCATACATTATTTTCAGTTGGTTTACAAGTCTAAAAGCAGCAACTGAATATTACCTCTTGTCGGTACACTTAAAAAGGGTTTGATCTTACTCATCTTCAGTGCTTATCGAGAATTTACAGATCCTTTCAGAGCTGTCAACTTTAGAACTGTAAATGCCAGTAAATCGTTTTAGGAAACAATAGAGGTTAAGACATCATTCAAATCAGTCCAATTTTTAGCTATTCAAATAAAACCAAACCTGGGGCTTTCTTCACAAAATAAGCTTTTATGTTTTAAGGTGCTACTTCCGTCTTCATGTGGGCAGTAGCCCTCTGTTTGGTGTACATAATTCTCATTAGCATCTTCGTTTAAATTAGTTTTTTACACAGTTCTCAATTTTTGTTTTCGGCCACTGCTTTACAAAATAATAATAATAAAAAAAAACAGTAGTATCTTGTTTCTTTGTTTTCGCATAAATGAAAACTAGTATATAAGCTTGAATCACTATATGACATGCACAAACAAGGTTAAAAAAAAAAAAAAAGCAATAAAGTCATGGTCCAGTTAAACTGCCTAACAACACAAGAAAGACCAACTTGAAGGCTCATTTCATGCCCAGTGCAGTAGGGTGATCAAATTTAGTGCAAACAAAATTCTCTGGTCAGACTAAACAGCTGCTCCCTTGGGCTTTAAGGTGTGTCCAGCTTCTCTAACTCCGTGACGAACACCAAGTGGTCCTCGGGGGACTTGCCATGCGTTTTGCTCAGGTGCAACTTTACCGCGTGCTTGCTGACGAAGGTCCGAGTGCACAGCTTGCACTGGTAAAGCGAGTCATCCTCCGACAGGGCCAAGGAGCCGAAGGCATTGTCAGCGATCGCCTTCGCCATAGCCTGCTGCTCCCTGATGTGGTCTATGGACAGCTTTGAGAGGTCCTTTAAGCTGAAGCCCAGATGTGACTCCAAATGGCCGATGTAGGTCGAGGGAGTCCTGAACTGAGAGGAGCAGTCGCTGCATAAGAACACTGGCTGCCCTGAGTCTATGTTCTTCAGAAACTTGGTCCCGCCTGTCCGCCTTAGCTGGTACTTGACGTTGGCTAGCCAGTGAGAAATTGTGGTCATGGAGAGGCCCGTGAACTTGCAGATGTGCACCCGCTCCTGGGGGCTGAGGTCAGTCATTACATACTTCCCCTCAGGCGTCTCTCGAAGGCTGGAGGCAAACTGGGCCTGGAGGATGAGGAGGTGTTGGGGATTCCAGTTTGACTGGCGCCCTTTTCGCTTCTGAATGGGGGACATGTCCTCCAGTGGATCCTCGAAGGTGCTGCCATCGGCGTCTGACTTCTCCGACATGGAGGACGGGGTAGAGGACTTGGGTGTCAGCCTGCCCGAGAGGTTTTTCACCATATCTGAAATGTCCATCAGCGCATTCTCCCGCAGTGGGGATGGGATGGTTTCCGGCAAGCTCGCGCGAGCAGGTCGACTGCCGTTCCCATTATGGCTGCTGTTATTGACTGGAGCAGCGCGGCTGCCATTACTGTTTTTGGATTTGGTCAAGTCCATGGGCTGGTCATCATCTTCATAGCAGTACGGATTCATGGACTCAGCCGGCTTAACCTGAGTTGGCTTGTAGGTGGGCTTCTCCATCATACTGTTGCTGATCTTGTACAGCATAGCCAGAGGGTCCAAGGCGGGGCTGGCAGGCTTTGAGGGCTTGCCCAGGTGGGCATTCATTATTGATTGCAAAGCACTCAGCGGGTTAACAAAAGGCTGCTCAGGTGAATGATCGGTGATTATCCCCAAGCTGCTGCAGCCATTGCTAAGGGGTGATCTGTGACCCTCTGTGCCATTCTTTACCCGGAAATCCACAAGGCTCTCCCTGGGCTCCCGCTTGCAGAGGGATACCATCTCTACACCTGCACTACCGTTCTTCACCCTGGGCTTGCTGCTGATGTCATCAGGGGTAGGGGCATCCCTGTATGCCTTCAGCTCAGGAGAAGGTGCTTTCACAAGGAGGGACTTGAATTTATCAGCACTTTTCTCTTCCTCCTTCTCCTTCTTCACAACCGTTTTCCCCATGACTTTCTCCACCAGTTCCTCCATGGCAGAGACGTTGTTTCGGTGGAGAGGGGACAGGGATGGGCTTCGCGGAGAGTGGACGATTGGCACAGAGTCAGACAGCAGTGCTTTCGGGTGGCTGTTGAATGTCGACTGGACCTGGACACTCTGCACTGAGGACAAGGACGACTTCATCGAGCTCTGGATCTGATAGGCAGCATGAATGCTGGGATATCCTCCCCAAGTTGGGGTTCCAGTCTGGGCCTTGCTGATTGCACTAGACACTGTGTTTTCCAAAGACTTGAGGATGTCCAGCCCACCTTTAGGAGTCTCCTCCAGGTCTTCCTCTCTGAGGTACTTATACGGTGCATTTGCGTCAGTCTTCTCTCCGGCCTCCTCCTTCTCTACTTTGATCTTCTTTTCCAGCTCACTTACATCCATCCTTTCCTCCTCCTGCTCCCTCTTCTCCTCTGGGCCGGAGGAGTGACTCGGAGACTTGGGCTGTGACTTAATGCCGGGCGTCGGTAACCTTGAAATGGTGGGTGGCAGCGGGATGGACTGGATTTTCTCCTCCACCACCGGATCGAACACCAGCTGCTTGCCCTTCTTGGAAGCCGAGTTGGTGACCTTGAGAAAGTGGCCAGTGACCATCATGTGGGCGGTGAGTTGCTGCAGGGTGTCGTGGGAGCTCCCACACTCCATGCATTTCAGGATCTGGGCCTTGCGTGCTTCAAACTGCCAGGTGTAGCTGGCCCCATTTTGATAGCCGTAGCGGTTGTTGGGTGTGACATAGGGGTTAGCTGCTTTGGAGTCTTTCCCCGTCTCACTGATGGGTGTGCTACTAATAGACTCTGGGGAACATGGTGAGACCAAGTCCTGAATTGCCGCCCGTTTTTTTGTAGAGGGGACCAGCTTGGTGGCTAGGGCTGGAACGGGCTCTTTGAGAGGCACTTTCTGGTAGTGTTTCGTTTTGATCATGTGGACGCTCAGGTCTTGCAGTGACTCAAACGAATGCCCGCAGTACATACACTTGAGCACCTTCTGTGCATCCTCCTTGCCCTCCATCTCCATCAGAGAACGCTTCCTGGGCTTGGACCACCGCTTGCCCTGCTCCTCCTCTTTATCCTTGTTGTCATCCCGGTAGTGACCCGTCTCGTTCATGTGAACGGTGAGGTCCACCAGCGTGTCATACGCGGCACTGCAGTCCTTACACCGGAACTTGCTGGCGCCAGTGAACACGGACCCATAGAGCTTGTTATTCTGCCGGTACAGCTGCACGGTGCTGAAGAGGCTGGGCTCGGGGAGCAGGTGGTAGGGAGCCTGCTGCAGCGTCTTCGCCAGGGCAGCCTGATGCCAGTCGTACGTCACGCCCGCCCCGTTGCTGGTGACGCTGTTAGTGCTTGTATTGTTAACGGGGTGTGCCGCTGTGGTGGTGGAGGTGATTGTGGTTGTGTTTGTGGTGGCTGAAGCCCCGACTCCGGTACTGCTGCCACCATTGCTATTGCTGCTGCTGATATGGCCACTTGCGGCGCCCCCCCTCTTGTTGTGGCCCCCGCCATTAACGCCGGTGCCGCTGCCAGCCAACTTGGCTTTAACGACGTCCGCGCCAATGCTGGTCCAGGAGGAATCGGAGATCAGGCTTGCATAGACTGCTTTCATCTGCGCCAGGCTGTCCTGCAGGGACAGGCCATTGGCCGCCGGACGGGCCTCCCCCTTTTCTCGGACATCCTTCAACAAGACGCCCCGAAGGTCCAGCAGTCCGTCGCTGGCGTCGCTGAGCGGGGAGCCGTACCCCGCGTCGGCATTGGTGGTGGTGCTGAGCGGCGAGTTCTGGAAGCTGGGAGGCTCTTTGCCTTCTTCCTCCTCATTGCACACCAGCTCACCGTCCTGGCCGTCCAGGGACAGGCCATCATCGTGCAGGTGCTCCTCGTCGATTGAGGCAGCCTTTAGTTCATCTTCAGGCACATAAGCTGAGATAGGGGAGGAAAAACAAAACAAATTAAGAAAGATGAACTAGATGTGTGCCATAGCTCTGGTAATGAGATGCAGAGAGCACGCTCCGTTTTATCCGGCTTCCATTGTCTACGTAGTAACATAAATCATTTCAGTGTGCCCTACAATCATGCAAAATATTAATATTTTGAGATCAAAATTAATATATTAACCCTCCTGCAGCAGCAGAAATGGGGTTAACAAACAGCGTGAGGGACAAAGCGCTATAGGCACAATAAACAAACAGCTGCAGCCTCCCACATGAGAGCGACAGGGAGGAAAAGATTAAAAAGAAATTCACTGAACATACTCGGTCGCTTTAAAACACCTTCAGAATGTGACTGTTTAGATTAAGGCAGATCAGTCATTCTAATGTTCCCATTTAAAAGCAGCTAAACAGATTAATGCAGATACGTTATCTATTCTTTCAAAGGTTTTTAAATCTTAGGCTGAAATGTTAATTAGTTTAATGAAACATTATGTGGTTATTATTATTTACATCATGGTACAGTATGTAAAGGATTCAAATTAAAACAATCTTTACAATATGCAGGTAATCTGCTTCACAATGCTGCTGTAGTCTGAACCTGCAAACAATGGATACCCCTTTCCCAGAGTTCCTCTCCCGTCCTTTGTTTTTTTCCAGAATTTTCTCCACTAGCCCTGGGGGAAATATGACTCTTTACCCAACACTTATGTCAGGCCCTCCACCTATGTCTCCACCTCCAGAAAATACCTGGAGATGGGAAGCAACACCGGTTAATTACCAGTAAATGGCAAAGCAGCCTTTTCCCGTCCAGGTCCCTGAACCCCCCCCTCGGAGGACTGGAACCCGAAACCGCTTATGCGGTTCCCTACAGCTGGGTGTTGTTCCTGATGTTGCTACATCAGCTTCCATATTCGGAACAGCGGGCAGTAGCAGTTGTTAAGGACGTGGACAGGGGTGGGGGTGGGGGGGTATTTCTGTTGAAGTGCCCTTCCGCAAAGATGTCGACCTGAATTATTCCAGCACAATGTCCAGAGGCTTGAACACGTAACAGACAGATGCTTTGAAAATCCGAGCTACACAATCAGGGGACTGCAGAAAGGTCTCACCTGCAAGAGACCCAAACTTAGATTTATGGAATGTCTCAGCTACCTTACAAAGAAGAATAACTCTCGTTTCTTAATGACCTGAACGAGGGATGAACACTAGCTGTGTGTCAGTTCTCAGAGAGTCACGTGTTCAAATTCCCCCGCTCCTACTGCCTGTGGTGTCCCAGTGTGGACATAATGATGCGTTCGTGAGGAAGGAAGGAAGAAAGAAAAAGAAAGAAAGAAAACATATGTTCCAAAACAAGGCCTACATAAACAGCTTCAGACTGTTAGCTCTGCTGACGCCAAGGTACGTAGCTGGTGAGGATGAGGAGGGTGGAGAAACATGGATTGGGGCAGAATGATACCCAGGAAGGGAGCTTGTGCCTAGGATGGAGAACATGAGAGAGCGAGAGAGAGCAACCCCCCCCTCCCCCAGCCCATTCTCTTTATCGGGCACGTCCCCCCCATGCAACTCGCTGTCCTCTCCTGTGGAAACAGATGTTCTGTCAGCTTGAAGCAGTGTGCAAAGCCGCCGTGTGGTAATGCGAGAGGACGCGCTGCCTGATAGGCACAGGGCTGTGCGCGGTAAGGCCACCCGAGATGTGCAGGGGACACATGCATGGCTGCGATGGCGCAGGAGCCTGTGTGCGCATGTTCGCACAGCCCGATGCTCTGACTCCACATCACAAACAAATGTGCAGAACCAGGATCTCCATTACAATTTATTTAATTATTCTATGTATTATCTGCCATATTTTAAATCATATAAAATAAGCAAACATATGCAAATGTGTACAAAATAGTACAATATAGAAATAATAAACTGTAAAGCAGTTCAATATAAAAACGTACGATCGACTGACATCAGTAGGGGTGGTGGGGGGTTTGGCAAGGGCAAAGCGCAGCACTGAGTGTCCTGGGAAGGCTGTGCACCAGACTGCTGTGTCTGAAACGTTTGTCTAGTAAAATAAAAATGAGTAAATAAAAACAATCGTAGGCCGGCGTGCTATTCGGCTCCGGAGCCGCACGTCTCCCGAGAGCGCCTCGACTGACGTGCAGCCGTAGGAGTCGCTCTATGCGCCCGTGAAATCACAGATGCCACATTTATGGCATGGCGTTCCAGCTACGTGCTTCCTCCCGGCCCACCGCCCACGCAGAGCGAGCGACCCCGGGGGAAACCCCTCGCGGTTCAGTTAGGTAACGCACAGCTGCTGCTCATCTACCCCACACGTTTCATCTCGTCGCATGACTGCAATTTCCGCTGCAGTTATTATATAAGACGCGGTGACTGTCGATGTCTTCGCTGTTTTATGCTAAGAAAAACTCCTGTTTGGGGGCAGGCCTGCTTTGCCTTTCCCCCCATCACCCTGACGTCGGGTTGTCAGGTCGACGGAAATGCCCAGCGGGGCCGCGTGCTTCCCGACGTTAAATGGACCCGATGGAAAGTTGCACTGGCATCCGAGCAGAAATGAAACTAGACAGGGCCGTGAGAATGGTGTGTCACCTGGCCGACTCCAGCCGGTGCCGCGGACGACGTCGTCTTCGCTCCCCACCCCCCCAACCTGTGTTATTTATTCATTTCTTTTGATTTGGGGCGAGAGCGATCACAGCACCGATTTGGGGCCGCTAATGTCCAATTCGGGCTGCCTTCACTCATCCAATTTAGGCGGTCCTGTCGGTGCCCGAGCGGACCGGGGATGGCGGCGCTTAGCGAGCCCTTGCCTTGCCGAGGCCACTGACAGTCTTATTTCTCTGCTAAATTCACTCTGTCACCAGGTCTCCATTACGTGCCACTCAGCACCAATGCCTTTGAACAAGACTGATCAAATGGTGCAAGCTGACCCAGCAGGCTCAGTAGGAAGCCCCCCCCCCATCGCGAAGTGTAAATAAAAGGGACATTATTATTTCCTATGTCCTGGTGTGTGGAGACCAAGCCAATTATGGTAACTCTGTGCCATGGCAACGGAGGTGCCACGTTTGCTGTGGGGGAGCCGGTCGGGTCGCTTGCGACCGCAGAATAAAATTTGAGTGCTGAGTGCAGTCCGAAACGACATAACCACACATTTCTACTTACAATCTTGACCGTTAATGTAACGTAAGTAGAGAACAGCTTGTGCCGTTACTTAGTGTCTGTTTTTCAATGAAAGTAACAGCGAGAGCTTCAGGCATCTCAGGCTGGGAGTTCTTTAAACAGGCACATAATACTCATAGATACACACACAGACAAAACGAAAGGCAGCCCAGAGACTAAACTTACGGGCAACCAAACAAAAAGAAAGACAGGCTCACAGGCTCAATGAAAAGCAACAAAGACTAAACATACAGGCATAGAAACACTCAGGAACCAAAGCAAAAGGAATAAAGACTCAGAGGCCAAACGAAATGCAACACAGATGAAACATACAGGCACACAAACACTCAGGAAGCAAACGGAAAGGAACACAGGCTCTCAGGCCAAGCGAAAAGCCACACACACCCACACTGTAGAGCAGCATATGTGGGGATGCAGGTCTTCCCTAAATTAATATCCGCCCCCGCCGTCCCCTGCTGCCCCCCCCGCCCCCCCCCCCCCCACCCATATGGCAATGGGCCTCTGGGCCAAAAATGACCGGCACTCCGCCACCTCCGCGAGACCGGCCACGCTCCATCGGTCCGTCAGCCACGTCGCGCTGTGCCAGGGACGGCCCGGGACAGGAAGGCGCGCGCGGCCAACGCGGCAGCCTGACCACGCCAGCTCAGGAAACAAAGACCCCTGAAATCTGACCCAGTGCCACGGTCAAACTGCGAGCCCTCTCCGTCCAGCGGGGTCTTTCTGGGAGTAAAGGTCTTTCACAAAAAAAAAAAAAAAAAACAATTAAAGACATATCATGCTTCCTTCACTGCAGCCCAGAGAAGAAACACATCCTTTGAAGAATACCTTGTTAAATGCTACACTGGATCTGCTTTTCACTGCGCTACAGCCTAACAGAACCAGGCCAGAACTTAGGATAAAAGATTGTCAGGAAGATGAACAGCCACCCTGTGTGGCTGCTAGGGAATAATGATTTTAACATTCATACATTCATACTTGCTGTTTAAAATGTTTACATTTTTTAAATATTTTGGAATTGACCCTCCAGTGTGGCAGTGGTTGGGAAAAAACACCAAAGACTATGCTAAAGATTTCACTGCAGTTTCCAATCAGACTAACTAACTGATATGCTCGTTTAGGTAACTAAGTTAATGATAAGTGTGGTCATAACAGAGGACCCCCACCGCCCATCAAAGCTTCGTCAAATGAAAAGCATTACTGGAGTGATGCACACAGAAAATACACTTGTGCCATTTTTGCCGTCGCGGCGGAACAGAGGCCAGAGCAACGTGTCTGTACTCCTTTAGCGTGAGGTGAATTTTCCGGGCCGGTCTGTGGATGAGACAGCGTGACAGAGACACAAAGCAGGTCGACACAAAAACACCTGTCTCCAGCAGACGAACTCCTCTGTGCATGGAGCACTGATCCAGCCCCGGGAATCTATCAAACGGGGAGCTGATCCCAGTTATACATTAATGGACAAGCGGCGGCGTGCTGCAGCACTGCTGGCTCTGTGATTGGCTCTCACTACAGTGACTGGTTCACGCTTTGCTCCTGGTCTAATTCCGCGTTCAGCTTTATGTTCTTAGCGTCGGTCGCATTCAGCAGCCTGGCTTAGTCCTCCGGTCCTAAAAATCCTGCTAACAATGCTAGAAGTAACCTCCCCATGCATCCAAGTGCAGAACAACAATACGCAGCCTGCAGGTGTCGAATGCGACGGCAGCTCATTGACCACCACGCCACCTGCTGGTTCACACCCATTCAGTGTCACGGAACAAGCCAAGTACACGCAGTGCCGGACAGCACTCTGACACGCCTCCACCTGGCACC